TCCCAGCAGGGGATGCTTTGCCTTTAGGGTCTTCTGCCTGAGCCCAGAGACAAGCTGGAAAGAAGAACCCAACTAAAGAGTTTGAGGTCAAAATGGAGGCAGCCGAACTCCTCCTCCTTCACCAACCCTGACTTGCTTGTTAGCCCTGCCTGTGGGTGGGTTCCCCAAGATGGATGGAGCAGGTCAGGGGAGAGGTCGGAGTCTTTGCCTTTGATTGCGTCACTTCTCTGTGGGGAAGTCAGGGGTGGGATCCTTCAACCTCCTGGCCCACATTTTTCTTTTCAGGCACTTGGGTAGAAGTAATCTGCCATAATTCCTAGGAACATCCCTACGAAATCGGATGCCTCAGAAATCAGGCTGAGTTTGCTTCCCTCTTTAAGAACAGTGCTTTCCTAAGTGGGTCATGGATAGAGGTGAGGCATTTGATCCCCATTCCTGGGGTTAGGGCCCAATTCATTTTGTGTGTCTCATTGCTAAATATCAGTAACTACAATTTCCCATGAGCAGTAGTCTTGTGCCCTCATAGGTATAGACTGTCAACCAGGCTGCCTGCAAGCCTCCAAGTTGGCCAAGTCCGAGAGTGAGACACAACTTACAATTCTGAGCACGGCCCCCCTCACCCCCGTGCTTGGTGAAAAGGTCAGATTCCCAAATCTCCTAGCTCTTTTATCTGTTCCCTCCCCCTGCGAAAACCCAGCACCAAGCTTTGTCCCTGGTCTTCCCACTCCCTCCCCACCCCTCCAAACCTAACAATAATCCATCACTCTTATCTCATTTGGTGTTTACAAAGCACTTTACAGCCATTGTTGTGAGTTTTTCCTCTTATTTGCAAAGTACTTTACAACTATTATTACAAGTCTTTCCTCCAATGCGGGGTAATGCTGACCCATTTCCGAGAGAGTTGGATTGCCACTGCCTTCTAAGTGGTTGGACCAATGGCCATGATGCCCAGCACTGGAGAGGTAGGGCTTTCATAAGTGAAGGTCACAGCTGTGCCCTTAGAAATCAGGCTGAGAAACTGGCTTCAGGCCACTGCCCACCAGATGTTTGTGCTGGTGTGGGGCTCACTGCCTATCAGCTCCCACTTCTGGCAGGGTGGCTGCTAAGCAGCAGGGTTTGAACTTCGTTCTCTCCTTTCTTCAGCCCAAGGTGGTGCGTGTGCGTGTGTGTGTGTGTGTGTGTGTGTGTGTGTGATGCAAGAGAGTAAAATAGTCCCCCCATAGTGGACTGGGAGCTGCTTAAGGTGATCAAAAGTCTTTCTGTTTTTGTTTTAATTTTTTATCAGATTTTTTTTTTAAAACAGGCAACTATGGCATTCCAGAATGGCATTTTTAAGAAAGAAAAGTCCACATTACAATAACTAGCCTAACAAAAACTTCTTCCTTCGCAGTGCCTTAGCTGCCATCAGGGTGGTCTGGTAGTTCATGTGTTGACTTTTCATTTAACGTGAGGGGTAAACATTTTCCTCGATTGTTACAGTGTCTTTGTAATAAGCATTTAAACTTTGGTAACATGTTATTGAGTAGGTTGGATGGCAAGACTTTCTGGTAGAAAACATGGAAACTTCTGTAAATTTGGAGGGTTAGTGGCTTGTAGAGAGACAGGGTGCCTTGAGGAAGCGTGGCCTTGACCTCCTATGCCATTTCTTCTTTGGCTACTGTTGTTAACACCTGACCCTTCATTCTGAGTCTGACTTCTGCACTTCCCACCGTAGACAAGAAGTATCTGCCATCCAAATCCCATATTGGTTAAGGTATGTTCTGAAAATGAGTTGAGCAGTATTGTTAACTCATTATTGGTATTTTGGCCCAGTTTGCCCACCTCGGTTATCAGCCTTCTGAGAATAAGTTTCCCTCTTAGTTTCTGGGACATCTATCAGAGTGCTTAAATAGCAGATGCTCAGTAAATATTTGTCGGTGACAAATACATATTTGCCAACCTCCAGTGCCTTTCCCTGGCCAGTAAAATAATTGCCTTGAGTGTAACCTATTCTGTGAGGCAAGTGTGAAGGAGTTTCTAAGGCAAATCTTTGTGTTGGGGTTTCAGTTAAGGCCAGTAAGTAGCAGAGAAACCTATAATTGCCTGGATGGCTCCTTCGATGAGATTCTACCCCTTCATATAAAACCAGAAGTGTGACGAGACGAGATCTCCCCTCCAAAAGAGAGGACCAGATTATGAGATTTTTGTCTCTGGAGGCTTCTTTAGGTAAACCAGAACACGGGAAAGAAACCCGTTGCTTATCTTTATTTTTTTTTAGATTTTTTTTAAAGGTTTTATTTATTTATTTGAGATTGAGAGAGAGAGAGCACGAGCAGGGAGGCGGGGCAGAGGGAAGGAGAAGCAGACTCCCCACTGAGCAGGGAGCCCTATGTGGGACTCGATCCCAGGACCCAAAGGCAGATGCATAACGGACTGAGCCACCCAGGCACCCCCCAGTTTACTGTCTTTAAAGGGAGGAGAGTGTGATTCTTTATCTGTGAGAGCTCCGTACTGGAATATTTATGAATGAAATGGTAGGATGTCTGGGATTTCCTTCACTTATACAGGATGGAGGAAAGAGAGTGGAGAGATACATGGGACAAGACTGGCCACAAATTGTTGGAAGCTGGATGATGATTAAATAAGAGTTCATGGGGCACCTGGGTGGCCCAGTTGTTAAGCGTCTGCCTTCGGCTCAGGTCGTGATCCCTGGGTCCTGGGATCGAGCCCCACATCTGGCTCCCTGCTCCGCGGGAAGCCTGCTTCTCCCTCTCCCACTGCCCCCTGCTTGTGTTCCCTCTCTCGCTGTGTCTCTCTGTCAAATAAATAAAATCTTTTTAAAAAAATAAGAGTTCATTCTGTCCACTTTTGAGCGTGTTTAAATCTTTCCATTAAAAAAAAAAAGAATAAGAGGGTCGCATTAGGTTTGGACTGGGAAGGAACATGATCTGAAAGAGTCCTCCATCCCCAAGCATGGTTTAGGCTAGAATACCGTGTATTGGTTCAATTTTGAGGCTGTAGTGCCATCTAGTGTTTGCTGCAAACCCCCAACCAAAGGCCGACATTGCAAGCGCCTCTCCTTGCTCCAGAGTCCTCCTGTGAACTCCCCTGGCCTCAGGGGAAGGCCTTGGCCGAGGGAACGGGGTTGACCGGCTCAGGACAAGGGCAGTACTTGTGGGTCTGGAGGTGGAGGTGGCGTGCGGGCTCATTCCTTGCCTCACCCAGGCGCGGGGAAGCAAACTGGGACGGGAGTTGTCCTTTTGTGTGCGGCTCTGAAGGCAGGTGACCTTGCCCGGGGGGGGGGGGGGTTCTCCGTGTGACCCAGGTGCAAAAATAGCCTCTCTTGTGACGGGTGTGTGCTCAGCTCCCTGGCCTGAGCAAATAGCCCCTCACACCTGCACATTGTTGACTCGGTGTGGACACACAGCTACTTGTTTGCAGGTGCAAATGACTGTTTGTGTACCCAGAGTTGAGGGGAGGGCCCCCCACCATCCTCTTCTTCAGCCCACGTTCCCTTAGAGCAAGTAGCTGGGCCACAGAACTAGCAGAATGTGTGACCTTAAAACCCAGTGCTAGGTCCCAGTAGAGGGAGAGCTCTTAAAACCCCTCCTCTCCAAATATTCCCCACCCCTTTACAAGAGAAGAATCCACTCTTGCCTCTGGTGGTAGGACAAGAACAATCTGAACACCAGGGTAGCTGCATTTAGGGACAGAAAATCTGGATAGGATATAAAATATTTTTCAGGCTAGGAAGCGGTGTACATGGAGTCAGGGAGACTTCTGGAATTCTGAGCCAGGTCTTCTACAGATCATAGAGAATAAGAAACTTGGCCCAGCCTATATCAGCAAGGCAACTGCAATGGGCATGAGTGAAATTTGTCAATTGTAAAATCCTATAGACTTGGGCAATAGAGGTGGTGGGGAGTGGGGTTGGGGGGTGGTGAGTGAGTGCAGGAGACTGAGTGGTGGCAATGTGCCCACGGAAGTGTGAGTGACTCTAAGTCACAGTTGCTTGCAATATGGACCTATATTTTATGTACCAATAAGCAGGAAAAAGTGTCAAACTGTGATACAGCATGTCATACAGATATATTGAAATGGCAAAAATGAACAAAAATGGATCACAGCCCTTTTTGCAGGGCAGTTTGAAAATTTCAAAAACTTTCCAAAAATGTAGTCCCTTTGGTTCAGTAATTCTACTCCTAGGGGAGTATCCTAAGGAATAGGCAGAAATGCTAAGATTTGTGCACAAAATGAGCAGTATTTACAAAACAAGAATCAGAAACTGGGTAGGGATTAAGTAAAAGTTTAATGATAATGAGGATGGCACATTTATAAGATGGGATACCATACTATGCTAAAACGAGTTTATGAAGAATTTCTAATGTGGGAAAAATGCCTTGGTATTATGTGAAAAAAATCGGCTCAAAATTATATAGCTTGACCTCGACTAGGCAAAGTATGTGTCAATATATAAAATATTGCAAAGGATATAATAGAACAAAATGTTAATAACACTGGTGATCTTGAAGTCACAGGATTATATATGATTTGTATTTTCTTTACACACTTTATTTTCTAATTTCCCTGGAGTAAATCCTTTTTTTGTTTGTTTGATTTTGTGTTTGTATTGAAAGGGAAAAGGAATCTCAGTTTTGAAGGGAAAAAAGAGAGGAGAAAGGTCTGGGCAGAATTCAGTGTTGGGTGAGAACCTCAGGGCCACCGGCTCTGGAGGAGAGAGAGGGACTAAAATGCAGGCTGCTGGTGGTCGCTGCCCGAGTCCTCCTTTTCTTGTGACCCGGGTCTTGTGCTGTGTGTGCGATGCCCAAGAGTAAGAATGTCCACTTCCCCTGACAGTCCTCTGAGCCGAGCCGAGTCAGGAAAAGGGAGGCAGCTGAAGCTGATCCATCTTTTACTCCTTGCAAGGAAAAGGCATTATTTCCTTGGCCTCCGGATTCTCCGAGGTAAGGTTTCTGGGCACAAACTGAAAGAATTAATCCTCTGTCTTACTTTCCACCCAGTAGATATGTTTGATGACTTCTCGGAAGGCAGAGAGTGCGTCAACTGTGGGGCCATGTCCACCCCGCTCTGGAGGCGCGACGGGACGGGGCATTACCTTTGCAATGCCTGTGGCCTCTACCACAAGATGAACGGCATCAACCGGCCCCTCATCAAGCCTCAGCGCCGGCTGGTAAGCAAGTGCGCCGATTGCTCAAGTCCACCCTTCTCACCTGGCTTTGGGGCTCACGCTTTGGTTCTGAATTCCCAGGTTCTGAATTTTGGACTTCAGGTCATCTTTCTTTTTTTTTTTAATTTTTTTAAAAAGATTTAATTTATTTATTTGACAGAGAATGAGAGAGAGAGCGCACAAGCGGGGGGAGCAGCAGAGGGAGAGGGAGAAGCAGGCTCCCTGCTGCTTGGGACCCCGGGATCATGACCTGAGCCATAAGCAGATGCTTAACTGACTGAGCCACCCAAGCGCCCCTCAAGTCGTCTTTAAAAGATGGTGTTTGTGGAGGGGTTGGGTGGCTGGGTGGCAACGCAGTAATTTCTCATATCTTTAGAGTTAGCTCCATATGCCAGGATGTTCCAGACCATCTAGTTTAACCCCTTCATTATGCAGAAGTGAAAAGTGAGGCCCAGCAAAGCTAACAGCCTCACCCACGGTCACAGGGATACCGAGTGTTCGTCTAGAACCAGAGTCCAGGCTTCCCAGTTCCCAGTCCAGCCTTGCCTTGGACAGCTCCTGTTTTCACCTCGGCCCCAGGAGGATGGGGGACTCTTCCTTAACCCTGTTTTCAGCTGATCGGTTAATAAAACCTGAAGCCCAGGGGGGAGATTAAGCAGTGTGTGTTGGGCCCTATGGCCCGGGAAGAGTACGTAAAGGGGTTTTTGGTTCTCGGCTCCGTGGTCTTTTCTAGTATGATTTGATTTTGACCAACACAAATTAGCTTTCATGTATATTAGGGAGGGAGGAACGGAGAGGTTAAAACCTGACATTTACCTTTCTTGCGGTCCTAAGGCCCATCCAGCCTTTGAAGACACTTGAATACAGTTCTTCCCCCAGCGCCCTTCCCCCACCCGAAGTCCCCATTTATTCTCCTTTTGAGGAAAGCTCTTCTGCCCGCAGGGTCCTGTCTGATGAATGATTGGCATGCCGCTGATTCCAGTGAGGACTAGAGTCCACTCTACTCCCCCTGCCGCCGAAGTCTTTGTTCTCACCCCCCGCCCCCCGCCCCGCCCCGAGTGGCTTAGGTGAGGGGAGGAAGAGCGCCTCGGCTGCTCTGAGGTTCTCCTTCAGGGCTCTTACGGCTGACCCTGCCACCCATTCGGGGACGGCCAGGCCCTCGGCGCTCCCCGTGACGGAAAAGCAAAAGCAGCAGCGCCTGCCTTCGGCTTGGACTCCAAGGGTCTGTCTTCTCTGTTGCAGTCCGCCTCCCGCCGAGTGGGCCTGTCCTGTGCCAACTGCCAGACCACCACGACTACGCTGTGGCGCCGCAACGCCGAGGGTGAGCCGGTGTGCAATGCCTGCGGCCTCTACATGAAGCTCCACGGCGTAAGTAGCCG